ACAGGAAACAGAGTCTGAATCTGATGAACACATTGTATGTTTCCTGACAGAGTTTGATGACCTAGAAATGTGTACGTCTCTGGAATGCGGTTCCCAATGGTGGCCTGCCAGCAGCAATGACAAAACCACCACCCAGAGCTCTGGTTATGGTAACGAGGCCTCCTCTCTCCAGCACCTTGTTAAGGACCTCCGCTCACAGCTATCCCGCTCCCAGGGAGTGATCTCCGGGCTCCAGAGCCGCCTCCGTTCCCTCTCTACCTCTAGTGAATACGGTCCTTCGATACCCCACAAGGTCAACTGGTCCATCCAGGCATCAGCTTCACAGAGCCAGGCAGAGGATAATGAGGGCTGGCAGTCATCTAAGGGAGGTCAACTAGGTTCACCCCATCACCCAGACAAGGACCTAGAGAGGCTTGCGTCTCGTGTGGGTGCACTGGAGGACCAGCTGATGAAAGGTGGAAAGAAGGTTGCGGCAGAGGATGGAGTGTCTGCCACATTGCCAGGGTAAGAAAGACGTTGCGATGCAGTTTTTTGTTTGTTTTGCTTTTTTTCTAACTCTTTTCTTTGTTGGTGGGGTGGGATAGTAGTTTCTTTTGTTTCCAGTTCAACACAATGAGTGTTTGTGCCAACACCAAGAACATAAACCAGACCAATATAAACAGATTATTTGACAGTTCAAGAGTGGCTGCTTTTTTACCCTAAATAGTGCCAGGAAGAGTCTGCTTCTGCAGAACCTCAGACAACGCCAAGCTGTCGTAGTCCAAAAATGTAATATTCCGGAAATTCCTGAGGCGTAGAGATCAATCCTGTTGTCAGACAAAAAACCAGTGCCCATCACCAATTTCAGTCGTTTGTTGGAGAGGAATAGGAATATCTTCATTAAAAAGCTACAAGCTTGCAAATCTGACTTGGTTAAATCAAACTTTTACTATTGTTGTCAAAATATAGGTAAATTTCAGTAATTCAGTCTTTTACTGATTATTTTCCTTTTGAATGCCATTAATAAAATTCTTCATCTGATAATGATGAATTGAATAAAGTGCTTTATACAGCATTCCTCGACATTCTTTAAATTTTCTATCCACAGCTACGCTCAGTCTGTCCTGTACATGTATTACATTTTAAAATGTTAATAGCTTAACGCTCATTATAGCTTTATTATAGCAAATATATTAAAATTGTATCTATTGGTAACTTTATGGTGAAATAAACCAGGAAAATAATTTTTAAAAGACACTACAAAAAATCATAATATGGACTCGCTGGGGTG